ATTTAGTTATAGATCTGGGGACATAATAGTATGTTTTTAAAAAATATTCTCATACGATAGTCTCAAAAAAAGATGGAAATTGCAAGACTTATTTGGGCTTAATAAAAGGAAGAAATTTTTACTGTATATCTTAGCCTACTCGGGTTACCATAACAGAACTACAGCCTGGGTAGCTAAAACAAGTATTTATTTCTCATGGTTCCAGAGCCTGGGAAGATGAAGATCAAAGTGCTGATAAATTCAGTGTTTGGTGAGAGCCCATTTCCTGGTTTGCAGATGTTGCAAACACGTGACCCCAGCCTCTTCCTTCAGCCTCTTCCTTCTTACAAGGACACCAGATTATGGGGATTCCATCCTCAGGATCTCATCTCCACTTTGCCCCAACAGCAGCGCCTTAGGGTTAGGGTTTTAATGTATGAGTTTTTAAATTTATTTATTTATCTTTTATTTTATGTGTATGAGTGTTTTGCACAAATATAAGTGCATCCATGCATGCAATGCCCACAGAGGCCAGAAGAAGCCTAGAACTGGAGTTACAGATGGTTGTTAGCTGTCATGTGGATACTGGGACCTGAACCAGGGTCCTCTGCAAGAGCAGCCAGTGCTCTTAACCACTGAGCCATCTGTGATGGTTTGAATGAAAATGTCCCCCATAGGCTCTAAGTATTTTTACATTTTTCCCCACATGGTGGCGCTGTTTTGGGAGGTTTTAGAAGGTGTGGCTATCCTGGAGGAAGCAGGTAACTGGGGGTGGGTTTAGAGAGTTCTTAAGCTTTGCCACATCTCCAGTCGCTGTCTTGCTTCCTATGCCTGGTGATGATGTGAGAGCTTAGCTTCTGCTGCTCCTGCTCCAGCCACCTCCAGTCACCATGCCTCCCTGCCATGACGGACTGTAATTCCCCTGGAACCGTAAGCTCAAATAAACTCTTCCTTCTACAAATTGCTTGGGTCAGTGTTTCTATCACAGCAACAGAAAAGTGACTAATACACCATCTCTCCAGTCCCTTAATGTATAAGTTTGAAGGACACACATAGTCTATAACAGCCTGCAGCAATGACCAATCAAGAAGTGTGTGTGTGTGTGTGTGTGCGTGTGTGTGTGTGTGTGTGTGTGAGAGAGGAGAGAGAGAGAGAGAGAGAGAGAGAGAGAGATTCACAACTTCTGGGATGTAACATTTATTTATTCTAGGATTCCAGGACTGTGTCATTTCATTGCTCTGTGATTCTAGAACTCCAAATAAATATTTTATGATTCTAAGAGTCTATCATTCTTTCACTCTGATTCTAGGATTCAAAGATGCCATTATCTTGCTATCACTGCGTTTTTGTGGTCATGCCAGTCACAGTAAAAGCAGTGAGGGTTCTTCTCCAAGGCTCACACAGCTTTGTGGTGAAGCCTGTGACTGGACCCCACTCTTCCCTGGTTGTATTCCTAGTGGTAGAGAGAAGGCATCCAGCATTTCACAATAAAATACACAGCATGACAGGCACCTTTGACCTATTAGGGAAGGTCTAACTTGCCAGAATGTTTCAAAATTTGATTAGTGGGTGTCAACTTTGATCATGCTTTTCAAAATATGTCTCTCTGGGGCTGGAGAGATGGCTCAGCAGTTAAGAACACTTATTGTTCTTGCAGGAGACCTGGGTTCGAATCCCAGCACCCACATGGCAGGTAACAACTCCAGTTTGATGACCTCTTCTATCCTTGCGGGCATTGCACAATACGGGTGCACTTACCTACATGCAGGCAATACACACATACACATAAAATAAAAATAATAAATATTAAAAAATATGTCTCTGCGATGACTTATGCTGTTTCACTATGATCTGTTGTGTGCAGCATTACATCCACACTCTTCTGGCTGTCAAACCAGTGTTCACTCCTAGGATAAACACTACTAAATATTAGGAATTATTTTTAAATTTTTTACATTTATTTGTGTGTATGTATGTATGTATGTATGTATGTATGTCCCACAGCACATGTGTAGAGGCGGGATGACAACCTTCAGGAGTTGGTTCTCTTCTCCCTCCATGTAGGTCCTGGGGAGGGAACTCAGGTCATCAGGCTTGGCAGCAGGTACCTTTACCCACTGAACCATCTCATTGACCCAAGAATTATTTTCATGTGCAGTTTTGAATTCTGTTTTCTAATGTTTCACTTAGGATTTCCACATCTGTGATTGCCCTTTTATTTTTTGCTCATATTATCCTTGTCTCTGTTCTGGTGCAGTCATTATATCAGTTTCTTAACTGATATGGGAAGTTTTCCCCTTTTTTCTGTTCTGTAGAATAATTTATGTTCCATGAAAGTTCTGTGGAACTCAGTTATAAAGCCAAATGGATGAGCTATTTCAATTTCTGTCTTGTTTTGATTTCTTTCATGGGTCAACTTTTAACTACTGATTCAACTGGAATATTCAGGGTGTCTGCTTTTTCCTAAATCAGTTTTAGCAAAATATATTTCTCTTAGGAAAATTATCTATTTCCTCTATGAAGTCATCTGTTTCTGCATAAAAATGGCACATGCCTTTAATCCCAGCACTTGGGAGGCAGAGGTAGGTGAATCTCTGTGAGACTGAGGCCACCTTGGTCTACATAGTGAGTTCCAGGCCAGCTGGGAATACAGGGAGACCCTGTCTCGAAAAAGACAAATAATGCCCCCAAATTGATCTCAATTAAAATCTCAGCAAATCATTTAACGGACATGAGACTGTCATCCAAGATAGCTTTCTTCTATCTGGTCACAGGTAAAGGGTAAATTCTCAAGTTCAGGATAGGCATCACCCCCTTCAGTTTTCAGTCTTTCTTTTCACCTTTGGAAATTATTCTTTAAAAAGACAACAGCCAAATCCAGAGAGAGCTGAGCAGGCTGACAGGAGGAAAGATGAGGGCAAATTATGTTGCTTATAGAAATGTATCTACTAGTGACTGGAAAACAGTTCCAGGCATCATTTCACTTACGGAATTCAAACCAAATTATCAAGAGGCAAAGACTCAAAGATGAGGAAGTTCAAGAGATAATTAACTAATTAGAGCTATCTTCTCATCCTGTTTGGCTAAGGTTTAAAAAACAAAGGTTGTGTTTTATAATCAGATCCCAACCATAAATGACTTTCTCCCCCAGAAATACCAACGTCCCAGGTTAACTGATGTTGAAAACTGCCTATATTGGAGGGGACAGTCGCTGAAGGTCAGTTGATGCCACTAGGAGTAGGGAACAGAAAGACAGTGCTGACACAGATGGAGAGACATGAAGAACATATCAAAAGGCACTTAGGGACGATGGCTTAGTGGGTAAGAGCACTTGCTGTCTTAGCACGAGGACCTGAGCTCAAGTTCCCAGAATTCCCATAACAAGCGAGTGTGGCCAGGTAAGTGTTTGTAACCCCAGTGCCATGGGGGCAGAGACAGGAGGATTGCAGAGGCTTGCTGGCCAGCTAGCCTAGTTCTAGATTCCGAGGGAGACTCTGTCTCAAGGGAATAAATGATGGAACAGAACATAGCACCCAGACACAGAAGCACACTCATACATACATGTGCACATATACCACATACACATAAGTAAATTAAAAGTAAATAAATAACAAATTTGGGGGGAAAACAATTTTTAATTTTTTATTATTTTTATTTTAGTGTATGAGTGTATTGCTTACAACTGTGTAAATACACTGATGCTGGCCAATGCCTGCGGAAGTCAGAAGGTGTTGGACTCTCCTGGAACTGGAGTTACAGACAGTTGTTAGCTGCCATGTGGGTGCTGGGAATTGAACTCAGGTCCTCTGCAAGAGCAGTTAGTGCCCTTAACTGCTGAGACACCTCTCCAGCCCCTGGGAAAATCTTTTTTTAGAGGTACTAGGAAGACCAAGAGGTCTCCTGGGGAAGGCTTCTCAGTAGTTTACTTGGGAAGTCCCACCTGTGGGTCTCTATGGTGGGCCTTTTGACTCCTTGCCTCAGAGGAGGGCCTAAAGCCAAGAGACAGACTATTGGAGACAAAGCAGGTCTGTAAGAATCCAAAAAATCATTTCAACTCCAAGGTAGAAATAAGGCATGAATGTGACAGGGAACCCCTGCAGAGAAGGTCCTATCCTTTCCTAGGGAACTGTCCCCAGCCCCCGCTCCTTACCTCCTCCTTGGACCCCTTTCCAGAATCTTCTCTTCTTTGCCTTTCCCCCAGTGTAGCTTCTGGGCTAAAGAAGAACCAGGTCACCCCTGGGAGGGTTGAAAACACTGCTTCCCAAGGATTTCCTAGAGAAGGAACAGCCAGGACTTCACTAGCCTTGAGTCTCTCATTCCCACACACCTGGGCAGGCCCTGTACATAGATAGACCGGCACAGTTTGATCAGGAGCCAGTAGCACTAGGTGCAAGTACAGTCTGGTGGCTGACCAATAATAGCAGCTCTCCTTTTAAAAACATCTGTTCAGGGGCTGGGAAGATGGCTCAGCGGTGAAGGGCAGGTACTGGTCTTCCAGTGGACCTGAGTTCGGTTCCTGGAACCCATGTTGGGCGGCTCACAACCAACAGTAACACCAGCTCCAAGGGGCATTTGACTGCCTCTAATCTTTCAGAGTCCCCACACATGCGTGCTCATATCCGACAGACACATATACGTAATGAAAAATAAAATAAATTTAAAAAGAAATAAAAGCAGCTATTCTGGTACAGACATTTCATCAGAGAATTCCACCCTGTTTTTTAAGACTTAATATCTTCACTCTTCTATGATTTGAGCCTATTTTATAAAAGAGGAGCCTCAAGATTCCGGATGTGAAACCACCCGTCCAAGGACAGTAAGTCATCTGGAGCTTGGGACTTGAACCTACCAAGGCCTCAGTTCTTCTGTTGCCTGGGAACAGAAGAGGGAGGAGCTGCCAGAGCAAAGGGAGGGAGGAAAGAGAGAGGGCAAGCTCTCAGCAGTGAGCTCTGACGACAGCAGGTGATTTTTTTTCTGCAGCGCACTCTCTCAGCATCTTTTCTTGATCACCCCCCCCCTTGCTGAGCCGCAAAAAAGGGTGGGGCCGCCTCTCTGCAGCAGAGACGGCGGCGGCGGCGGTTGCGGCTGCAGCATCGCCAGGGGCATCCGCGGAGGCAGTTCTCGGCTAGTCTGGGTTGGAGGTGACCCCTGCCAAGCCCTGCTAGCGGCCAGCTGCAACCGGACGACATCGGGAAGGAAAATCGAGCCTGTCTGCGGGACCCTGCCCGGCTCACTCTCTACGCCATGGCTTAAGCTCACAGCCACCTTGCATAGCATCTCCTCGCTGGGCCGGGGTCTGCAGGACACCGCAGCCGCAGGGAGGGTGCACCCAGACGCCATAGGCCTGGACTCTAGGACGCTGGGCGTTTCTCTCATCTTTCCCAGCCTCACCAGGTCCTCTGCGGAAGGCGTTTGCAACCGGTAATCGAGGGACTTTACGGACTTTTATCTCACCCGGCGTCCCCGGGTGCTTTTTGAGGGAGGAGGGCGAGGTAACCCGCTGATAGGGGGGAGGGTGCCCCTATCATTGGCGGGTCTTGGTGGGGTCTAAAGGGAGATTAGATATTTGATTTGGGATCACAAAAAGAGAGAGGGCCAGTTTGTCATCTAGCATCATGGCATGGCCGTGCATCACGCGGGCCTGCTGCATTGCCCGCTTCTGGAACCAGCTGGACAAGGCGGACATTGCGGTGCCGCTGGTTTTCACCAAGTACTCGGAGGCCACCGAGCACCCGGGCGCCCCACCGCAGCCTCCGCCCTCGTCGCTGCAGCCGGCGCTAGCGCCCCCCTCGGCGCGCGCTGTTGCCATAGAGACGCAGCCGGCCCAGGGCGACTTGGATGCAGTTGCCCGGGCAACAGGGCCGGCGCCCGGGCCTAGCGGCGAACGTGAGACTGCAGCCGCCCCCGGCCGGAGCGGGCTGGGCCTGGGCGCGGCCTCTGGCTCCACTTCCGGCTCAGGCCCAGCGGACTCGGTGATGCGCCAGGACTACCGCGCCTGGAAAGTGCAGCGGCCGGAGCCCAGCTGCAGGCCGCGCAGCGAGTACCAGCCGTCCGACGCGCCTTTTGAGCGCGAGACCCAGTACCAGAAGGACTTCCGCGCCTGGCCGCTGCCCCGCCGCGGGGACCACCCCTGGATCCCCAAGCCGGTGCAGATCTCTGCGGCCTCTCAGGCTTCCGCGCCTATTCTCGGAGCGCCCAGGCGTCGGCCACAGAGCCAAGAGCGTTGGCCGGTGCAGGCTGCCACGGAAGCCCGGGAACTGGAGGGACCTGCAGGAGCCGGGGTCCTGGCTGCGGGCAAGGCATCCGGCGCAGAACAGCGTGAAGCGCGGAGGAAGGCTGGGCCCGGCTGGATGATGCGGCGTTCCGAGGGGTATGAGCAGACACCTCTGCCTCCAGCCCAGTCCCAGGCGGAGGAGGGTGGCCCTGCAGCTGGAAAGGCATCCGGTGCAGACCAGCGGGACACTCGCAGGAAGGCTGGGCCAGCATGGATGGTGACCCGCATGGAAGGGCATGACGAATCACCGCTGCCCCCAGCACAGTCCCAGACCCAGGAAGGTGGCCCTGCAGCTGGAAAGGCATCGGGCGCAGACCCGCGCGACACGCGCAGGAAGGCTGGGCCCGCCTGGATGGTGACCCGTACGGAAGGGCACGAAGAGTCACCGCTGCCCCCAGCACAGTCCCAGACCCAGGAAGGTGGCCCTGCAGCTGGAAAGGCATCTGGTGCAGATCCGCGTGACACGCGCAGGAAGGCGGGACCGGCCTGGATGGTGACCCGCACCGAAGGGCACGAGGAGTCTCCACTGCCCCCAGCCCAGTCCCAGACCCAAGAAGGTGGCCCTGCAGCTGGAAAGGCATCCGGTGCAGACGAGCGTGACACACGGAAGAAGGCGGGTCCTGCCTGGATGGTGACCCGCACGGAAGGGCACGAGGAATCTCCACTGCCCCCAGCCCAGTCCCAGACCCAAGAAGGTGGCCCTGCAGCTGGAAAGGCATCAGGTGCAGACCCGCGCGATACGCGCAGGAAGGCTGGGCCCGCCTGGATGGTGCGTCGTTCTGAAGGGCACGAGCCCGAGAGTGGCAAGGGGCGCGCAGTGGCAGATGCCCTCAACAGGCAGATTCGCGAAGAGGTGACGAGTACAGTGAGCAGCTCCTACAGGTGAGACCGGGGCAGCACCTCCTGCTGATCAGCCCTACCCCTTCCTGGGAACTTCCCAAGGGCTCATTCTCCCCTACGAAGGCCTCACATTCAGCCTCCTCATGGACCACACCCTCTCCCTGGCCACATTCCAGGCACCCTCCCAATCCAGACTTCTCTGCCCTGCCCTATGGGAAAGCCCTTTATATTTTCCACCTCGATCTTCCCAGCTTGCTCTTTGCCACTCAAGCCACTATTTTTCTCCTTGCTACCTAGCTTAGATCCCTGCCCAAGAGACAGTTTCCTCCTAGCTAGCCTGTGCTTTCCTCCTGTTCCACCGGATTCACCTGCTGCCCTTAGCCTGGATATTGTCATCCTAGTTAGCTCTGCTGTCACCCACCCACTTGTCTGTCCTTTCCAAGTGACCCCTTCCCCTTCCTAGCCCATTTTCTTGGCCTGGATCCTCCTCCTCCCAGTCCCTGGGCAGTACTCAAGCACCACACCCTTTTCTAGATTCCCCACAGGATCCTTACAAACCACCCTCCTTCTCTACCACTAGAACACTGAAGTCATTTCCCTCCTACTTCTTACTAGCTTTGACACATTGAGCAAATTTCTTAACCTTTCCGGACCTCAGGTTCTTATCTGTAAGATGTAATCAATAATAGGTATCTTAAGGTTGTTCACATGTGTACTGATTTACAGTTAAATATTCAGTATATTTTTTAATATTGACTATGTGCCAAGGACTGTGTGAGATGTTGGGAGGATTTAAGAGAGATGACTCAGGGGGACTGGTCATGCCCAGACATAATGGTAGTTTTGTTTCCATTCCAACGTATTCTATGCTTCATTATTGTAATTTTTGCTTCCGGGATATCTCTCCAGTCCTCTCTTGAATGCAGACATCCCCTTTCTCCCTCTGTGCCCTTCTGTTCTCTAGATATGTTTCTTACCCTTTCAACATCCAGAGCTCCCTCTTTAGCATGTTCACAATCCTTGTAAAAGAATGCCTTGAGGCATGGAAACATTTCCCATCCCCCACCACCGATTTCTAGAAGTCTCTGTGCTGCGGCCTCAATCTTTCAGTCTGCTTTCTCACCTTTCATCCAGCCTATGTGTATTTCTGAAGGTTTAGCTTTTTAGACCTTCCCTTATGTGTGAACCAACATCAGTTAGCTGATAGGTCCTAGTTGAGGACAAACGTGGAACACTGGATTTGGGGGCTCTGAGGAGGTGGATGTGTGTGGTAAGTGATTGAGCTTGTGGTGGTAAATAAGGCTTGTGGGGTTCTTTCATCAATGCCACAGCCAATTAGGTGCCTTCTTCCTGCAGGAGAGTGTGTTAGGGAAGGCTACCCATATAGTGTCCTCTGCCAAGGCCCTGTATGTGGCCTTGGGTCAGACTGATATTCTTCTTTGGTGACCATGACAAGCATTCCTTCATAGGCTGCAGATAGACTAGGGCATGCAGAAATTCTCTCTTGCTAAGACAAAACCTGACACCTGCCTCAGAATTTGATGCCTTCCTGAATTTTGCCTCCCCACTGGCTATCTCTCTCTTGGTTAACTGGTATCACAACCTCACTGGTCTCCCAGAAGTAGTACATCACTTCCTTTCAAAGCTCTGGGTCAAGCAAGGACACAGACCCTTTTCCTTGGACAACTATGGGGAAGTTGAATTTTCACAATAATTTTTATGCAATTAAAGGAGGATCAAAGGAAAGAAAGGGAAGAAATAAGCAAGGAACATTTAGAACACACCACACACACACACACACACACACACACACACACACATACACAAAGCCAAGATGCAGTTTTCTGTTTCTGCCATAGTTTCCTGTGTACACAGTCCTAGTACATGATCTGAGAAACCCAAGGCTGGCCCAACATTGCATTCCTTCCCTCTTTATCTTCCTAGTTCCAATATACCATGGCAGGTGGAAGCTTATCAGCCACCAGGCAGGATCTGCCCCTTTTCACCTCTGTGCATTCCCTGCCAGTCCAAACCAGAGAACCCAGGTTTCTGCACTTCCTTGGGTGGTCCTGTTTAATTTGTTTCCATGCTGGCTGAACTTGCTTTGTTTGTGGAAGCTGGGCCAGACAGCCAAGAGATAAGCTCGCCTGTCAGGTGCAACTCACTCTAAATTTTGGTGTGTGCCTTTGTTCTGTATAGCAATTTCCCCTGAAACAAACTTTAAACTGTGTATTAAGTGTGTCCTGCTTCAGGTGACACACTTACTAGAAATGGTTAAACTGGGTAGTGGAAGACCATTTTCTTGTAGTTGATGAGAATGACCACTCTTAGCAGCTATTAGAATTCTATCAACCTATCAGGAGAAAAAAAAATCTTTGAAAATCACTATTTAAATAAACTCATTTTTTGTAAAATTCAATTATATATGACTTTAGAGCCATCAGTACCGTTTTGCTGTATAATCCGGTTTAGAAGCATTAAGAGAGTATTGCCAAGAAACATAAATTTCTTTAATGAACAATTTGAATGCACAACAAATCTGATGTGGAATTTACTTTCTTTTAATTCCTGAAGAAAAAAATTAACCAGTAATAGGGAAATGTACTTTGTATGAAAAGTAGATGTGAGTAAATAATATATTTTATAAATTAATTTAAATATACTGTAGAGAAAAATGTTTGGAAATTTAGGCTTATCTGATAGATTGATTTTCCTTCCCTATTGTCTGACATTCTTTTCCTTTTTGTGATTTTGTGTATCTTCTGTATTTAAGTGTGCCCTGAGTCCACTGTAGAACCTTGCATTACTGTAGAAACCAAATTAGGTTATTTGATAATTTGATTTATAAAACCTTTTTTTTCTGTCACTCTACATAAATCATGATATCTTTAGGATGGTTCCTCTCCTGGGCTTTCCAAATGACATCTATCACATGACAGCAATGTGAGCAGTTCGCATTAATGGCAAGAAAAGGACATATGATCCATCATCTTAATATATGGGTCTGTAATGTAAAATGCATATTCAATATGCAAAATCATATGTATGCTAATATGCAGTTGGTAAATAGCATCAGCTACCCTTGAGATACCATGGTTTTGAGAAATCTTCCCTATTTTGCAGTTCATCTGATTCACCCAATCATACTAACGTGGGGTTTTTTGATTCTAGTGATATCTGAGGTATCTTTGGAATTATTCATAATTGTGAGGTAGATTAACTTTGAATAGATGATATTATGAAATTGAGAACCATGTCTTTATTACCATTTTTATGTTGAGGATGGATATTCCTGGGAAGCCATTTCTGACTCAGTTAGGAAATAGATGAGTCATAAGAAGGGGATTAAAATTCCCTTCCTGGTCAACCCCATTGCCCTGGCAGTCAGTTAATAGGGATAGATGGGGTAGCAGGTGTTCCCTATAGACATGCTAATGAGAAACTTTTCTGAGACGAGATCAGCAGAGGCACTAGGAGGTAGAATTAATAAACCAGAGGCAAAATATTTGAAAAATGAGAGCAATAACAAAGAAGTCAGGACGAAAAAGGGCCCTTGATGCCTGCCTTTCCACCTTGCATGAGGGTTAGAGAAGGCACTATGACTTAGTTTATGCCCCAGGCCCCACCCACTGACTCCCCTAGTTTCCCCCTGCCCAAGTCCCAGCAATGCCTCAAGACCAATCTCGGATACTGAATCTTCACACCTTCCTTGACCCTCCCGTTCAGAATTATGTTTTTCTAGTCACAACATACTATCTGAACTCTTGTCTTTGCTTTCTTCTCAGATACACTTACCCTTTATCCCCAGACCATGAGCACTTGAAGAGAAGGATTGTGTTTTGTCATTTGTATGTCTCACAGCCTAAAGTTGTATCTGGATTTGTTGATCCCATGGAATATTTTTAGGACTTGGTGAAAATTCTGTTCCCCTACATACTGATTTATTTCCTTCAGTTTCATGTAATTGAACTTAACACATAAAATGACCACCAAGCCATGCCAACTAGAATGCTGGGAGTTCCAAATGGGTAAGCCCTAATCCTACATAAGGAAGTCATGTCTTTAATTGGGACAAAGTCTGAATCTTACCAAATTATACCAGAAGGAAATGTTCACCAGGGACAGCCAGGAAGTTCTGCAGGTGTCTCCTCTGCACATGCCTTTACCCAGGCCAGGTGCACAACCTCGATGCATGGTGTGATCTTTAAGAATACTGATACAGGGGCTGGCAAGATGGCTTAGTTGGCTAAGTGGTTTTGTGCAAGCAGGAGCACCTGTGTGCAGATCTCCACGTAAAAGATCCATGCAAAAAGGCAGGTGGGGCAACTTGCATCTCTAACTCCAGCTCTGGAGAGGGCAGAGACAGGCAGGTCCCTGAGCCAGCCAGCCCAGCTGAATCAGTGAGCTCCAAGTTCACTGAGAGACCTTATCTTTAAAACTGACTGAGAAAGACACCTGTTGTCAGCCTCTGGCCTCCATACACAGGAGCACACATGTATATATGTATACCAGAACACACATGTGCACACACATATAACACACATGCTTTTAAAATACTGATACATAGGTTTCCCACCCAGAAATTCTAATGTAGTACATCTGGGGTGTGGCCTGGACACCTGAGTGTTCTGAAGCTCTCGGGTGATTCCATAGTCAGCACAGGTGTGACTTTCTAAATCAGGGTTCTCAAAATTCAGCACACAGAACTTTCTGGAGATTCAGATATCTGGGCCATGTCCTCAGATATGCTGCTTGGCAAGTTTAAAGTGGAACCCCCAAAATCTATTATTAACAAGCACTCTGGACAATCCTGATGAAGTCAGACTTAAGGCTTTCTTTGGGAAATACTACTGTTCATTTTTAAAGGGATGAGTTACTTGCTTGCATGTGTGGACGTGCACCTGTGTCATGCAGTACCTGAGGTCAGAAGAGAGTGTCAGATCCCCTGGAACTGGAGTTAAAGACAGTTGTTAGCCACCATGTGGTTCATTTGATTTTTAACTTCGTGTATAGACTGAGTTAGAGACCAAATCCTCCAGGTC